TGGTGTATAGAAATGCCATAGATTTCTTGGTGTTAATTTTGTATCCTGCTACATTGCCAAATTTATTAAGTCTAATAATTTTTTATGGAGCTTTTAGGGTTTTCTTTGTACAGTATGTTATGTGCAAAAAACGACAGTTTTACTTCTTCTTTTCCAATTTGGATGCCTTTTATTTCTTCTTGTCTGATTGCAATGGCTAATACTTCCAGTAGTATATCGAACAGGAGTGGTGAGAGTGGGCATCCCTGTCTTGTTCCTGTTCTTAGGGGAAATGGTGTTAGTTTTTGTCCATTGAGTGTGATGTTGGCTGTGGGCCTGTCATATATGGCTTTTATTATGTTGAGGTATGATCCTTCTACTCCCACCTTGCTGAGTTTTTATCAAAAATGGTTGTTGAATTTCTCTGGGGCTTTGGAAAGAGGAAACTGCAGAGCCTCACTTCCTCCCTCTAGGTTCTACAGTGCATGTTGCCCGGACAACTCAGAATCCATAAGAATTGTACTATAGATTAAAAGAAGAGAAAAATTATTCTCTTTTTAAAATGTTCCAAAGAAACAAGTCCAATCCTTTGGATATGTTCCAAATAACTAGTAAGCAATGAACAATGTAGTCTGAGTGACCAAAGGAGAACAGGGAGTGTCGCCAAAGCTCCACTTTCCCTTCCCATATCCTGTTACTGGCTTTCTTTCACTCCCCCAAGTGCCTAGGGGTGTTTCCTATAACCTCCATTTAATTGGACTGTCCTCAACATATTAACTCCATAGATTATTTATTTCAGTTAGAGTAAATTTTGTATCAAGTTCTATGTCAGTGAACAATATTAGAATTTTTAAATTTCTTTATTTCAACCTGGTGTATTACATTGGAGTTTGTCATATTTAGCCAGCAAACCCAATAAGAGCTAAATATTTTCTGAGAAAAATATAAATGCCATCTTACATCACTCGGATTTTATTTTATACTAGAGGCCTGGTGCACAAAATTCGTGCAAGAGTGGGGTTGTCTCTCAGCCCAGCCTCCACCCTCTCCAATCTGGGACCCCTTGGGGGATGTCTGACTGCCGATTTAGGTCTGATACCATCGGGCCTAAACCGGCAGTCAGACATTCCTCTCACAATCTGGGACTGCTGGCTTCCAACCACTTGCCTGCCTGCCTTCCTGATTTCCCCTAACCTCTTCTGCCTGCCAGGTGATCACCCCCTAAACACTCCCCTGCCAGCCTGATCAACACCTAACTGCTCCTCTGCTGGCCTGATTGGCCCCAACTGACCTCCCCTGCTGACCCAATTGCCCCCAACTGCCCTCCCCTGCTGGCCTGGTTGCCCCCAACTGCCCTCCCCTGCAGGTCTGGTCACCCCCATCTGCCCTCCCCTGCTGGTCTGATTGCCCACAACTGCCTTCACCTGTCGGCCATCTTGTGGCTGTGGGCACTGCCATCTTTGAGGGCATGGCAGTCAATTAGCATATTCCCTCCTTATTGGCTGTGGGTGCCGCCATCTTTGCGACAGTGTGAGGGTCAATTAGCATATCCCCTCTTTATTAGATAGGATATATCTACAGAGATGTGTAGTGGCAGCCAACACT